GAATATATTAATATGAAAAAATATTTTAAATATTATTTTTACTATAATTTTCATATATTTTTATAGGCCAAAGTGTGTACAACAGCCTCAAGTGCCAATATATCGGCAACCAAGCAAACGTCTTATTACTAATAACTGTACAACAGTATCTATGCAAAATATGAATCCAGTGCATTGTGATGGAAATGAAATGCATGGATTTCAAAGAAATGTTCCTCTATGTTGTGCAGCTCAGCAGAAGCATATGATGCAAACCTCTGTTCAGGAAGCACTTGTATTTAAATCTCGTGTTTTAGATGTACCATCAAAACATGATGTATATGTGTCTTTTGTAGAAGATGGTCCACATAAGTTTTCTGTGCAGCTTCAAAGTACATCTCAAATATTAAGCATGCTCATGAGAGATATCAACAGCCATCCTATAGAGCCACTACAAGAACCCCCTTTACCTGGATCAGTATGCCTAGGTCGTTATACACAAGATAAAGTGTTATGTAGAGCTGTTGTAATGTCTGTTATGGAAAATAAGTGTAAACTTTATTATGTTGATTTTGGTCATACAGAAGTGTTACCATATACAGATATTTTCCAATTGCCATCACATTTTATTAGTCCTAAAGTACTGTCTATTCGATTTACATTAAGTGGTGTACATGAATTAAATGTCACAGATGAAATGAAAAGATACTTCAAGCAAATAGTATCAGGAAAACTACTTGTTTTACATGTTCGTCCACCAGAAGGACCACCTTTGGTACAATATGGAGACTTATATGATGATGGAAAAAATATAAAAGATATTCTTAGACAAGCTTCTCCAGCTCCAGTTACAATAGCACCTATAACATCATCATTTGCATACCAGGAACCAAGAAAATTATCAAAAAATATGGAAGAAATTATACATGTTTCATTTGTAGAATCTTGTAAAAAATTTTTTGTACAATTGGACAGTAGTAATGAATCTCTTGAATTAATAATGAGTAATTTAGCAGAATTTTGTACAACTGCACCCACTTTAAACCTAGCACAACTAAAAATTGGTCTTCCTTGTGCTGCTTTATATGATAATCAATGGTTAGTTAAATACATGGTAAAGCAATGTATATTAATATACGTGATTATTTTTCACAATATTATATTGATTACTTTTATATTTATTAGGTATAGGGCACAAATTCTGGCCATAAATGCAGATAACATAAAAGTCTTATATGTTGATTATGGTAATGAAGAAACTGTAACTTTAATGTCTCTTCGATTAATTCACGATGATTTAGTAAAAAAGTTGCAAGCCCAAGCTATAAAATGTATTTTAAATGGTTGGGAACTTTTGCCATCTACTCAAGAAGTTCATAATCAGTTTGAATTATTAATTTTGGAAAAACGTTTACGTTTAAGAGTGATAGACGTAAATATAGATGGTATAGTAGTAGACTTATATGAACCAGAAAAATTGGAAAATATTAAATCTCAAATGTTGCATATAATTGGAAATGAAAAAAAAATAAGTGAATCATCAAATTATCAAACTATGGATAGTCAACATTCTACAAAAATTACTTCAAAACTTAA